TTTGCCGATGGCAGGTCGTCTAAATCTCGGTTCAACCATGATTGACAATTTTATCAATGGAAATCTTAACAGAAGGGCATGTTTGATAATTTTTTCAAAGTACAGGGGCATGTTTGAAGTAAAAAATAGTAGAGGGGCATGTTGGATAAAACATCATAGTAGAGGGGCATATTATACCTATAACCCATTCATAAAGGATGGGCAATAAATATATTTGGATATTTGAATCAAACCTTGTAGTTGTATGTATCAGGGATAATATTATTTTGTAGTGATGTGTAAGCTACCATGTATTTAGTAAGTATTGAATCGGAATGTGCATCAGAAGGAAAGATGTTGTAAAGGGAGTACTAATCCAGTGTAGACAGGATTTCGTTTAAGGTGGGTCTACCTAGAAAAAAATACACATGATAAAATAGTTTTTGTTAATATAATCTTAAATTGAATTTTTTTGGTAAATTAAAATACATTAGTAGTAAAAAATATCAAGAATATCATGTTGCATACCAAACATTTATTGATTTAGTTAGTCGTACACTCGTACTGTTTCAAATGGTGTTCTTTCTCAAGAACCATTAGTATCACTATCAATAAATCGAGTTGTTGATAGAGGTTTAATAATAAATCCTACACCAATCAATAATTCATAATTTAGCTTTCAAATAATGTTCTTTGTAAAAAACATTTAGTATCAACAAATCGAGTTGTTGGAAGAGATTCAATAATATATATGATACCATTTACTAGCATGCTCCCTCATAAGAAAATCAACTTATACGAAATTGAAGTTTGCACAAATATGTATACCATATTAAATTAAAACACAAAACTACTATTATCAATTAAATGTTAGCTAATTTTCGATATCAATTAATTAGCATACCTAATTTAACCATTTTCCTCCAGAACCAGGGTGGGTCTTGGGACCCACCATGTTACCCTCTCCCTCCACCATTTAACTCACCCTTTATGATATTTAATTGGTCATTATTATTGGTGTCAAGCATATAGGTTCAGGCAGGTTTGAGTTGGATTCAATTGGTTATGACTTACGAGTTAGTCGGGTTGCAGGTAAATTGAGCTTGGAGGGTTGCGACCTGCGGGTTAGTCAGATTGCTGCTTCATCGGGTTATGGGTTAGTCGGTTTACGGGTTAATCAGGTTAAGGGTTATAAATAGAAGACCCCTGAAGGCTATAAATAGAAGACCTGGTCTGGTCGTGAACCTTTTCCCGGCCTGGTCGTGAACTTGTCCGTCCCCTGAAGGCTATAAATAGAAGACCCCTTCCTCCATTTGAAGAGGGCTGATTTTGAGATAGAAATTTTTGGTTAGAGAGAGAAGAGAGAGAAGCTGAAGGAAGGAGAAGAAGAGAAGGAGGAGGAGAAGCTAGAAGAGAGGAAATGTTTGCACTAGCTAATTTTGGATCAAATATTGACCTAACCCAAAACTTTTGGGTATGGTTTCGGGTCATTTTAGGTTACGAGCGTTCTCGGAAACAAGAATAAATATTATTCATATTTTTTTAACAACACAAATTTTCATATATGTATGCCAATAGTTTGCCTAACACATTCCAATTCAAATATTCTCAAAATCTCACATGCTAATGAAAGAAATACAAATTGCACAAACCGCCAAAAAACATAATAAGAGTAATACTACTACAAGAATCACGTGATATTTGATGATCCCTACACTCCAAGCTTGTCTTTCATATCCTTTTTGAATTATGTTAAATATCTCGCCAATTTGTGAGTGATTTTATGATTTTGAGAGTGAAATACAATATGGAACGAGTTAAAGGGGTCGACCCACTGACCCACCCAACCAAAAAAGTTGCGGTTTAATCGGTTTTGGGTCATTCGATTTTGGTTTATAAAAAATGCAGTCAAATTTTAATTTCTCGCTCTGGTTCAGGTCGGGTCAACGGGTCTCGTCCTAATTTGTCATGTCTAATCATTTCAAGTGAATTTCATATTTTGAACCTTCCTTAACATTATTAAAAAATGATCTTACTTAGGTACATCATTGTGAAAGACTATATATTATATAATATAGTAATTATTCAGGTCAATCGGACATGTTATTGAGGTTAAAATCAATCGAATTATGAGTTTAATCAGGTTACGTGTCGGGCGGGTTACGAATCATTGTCTTTTACTCTTTTAGTCAATTCGAGTTGTGGATTGGGTAAATCGGACAAATTACTCGAGTCGGATTCTGTTTGATACCTCTAGTTGACCGAACTGCCTGATGAAAGTGCAGTAGGGTAGTAGTGTGGGCAAGGGATGTATACTAGGGGTGGGCAACCGGTTCGGTAAACCCGAACCAAACCGAAACCGAAATAATGCTATTCGGTTCGAAATTCGGAAGGGAAATATGGATATTTCGGAAACCAAGGTTCTTTCAACCGAACCGAATTTCCGACCGAAAAACCGAAATACTATAATTGTAAGCTTCAAATGGTGGATTTTAATGTTTGTAGTAGTTTTTAGACTTAAATATTTGAAATATTTTATGACTTATGTGTTGAAAAGTTTGATTTTTCATTGATGATGCATATAATTACATATTTATTGTTTATATTAGGGGTAAAAAATAATTTAAAAGTGAGAAAATACAAATAGCCTTACAAATTCGGTTTTGTGTGAAAAACGAACCGAACTATAATTCGGTTTAAACCGACCGAACCGAATTATAATTTGGTTCGAATTCGGTTTGAGATTTGAGAGAATTCAGGGACCCGGTATTCATAATTTCGGTTCGGTCGAAACCGAACCGACCGAATGTATACATTTCTACCTCATCTTAACTAATTAGTATTTTTTTTTTGTCGAAAACTAATTAGTATCTAAGAAACAAGCAAAATATATATAGTAGTATAGTAGTTTGTCCAATCATTTCTTGTCTCAACAACCAAATTATTTGTCGTTAAATGATAAGCTTGGTGTTTTCCGTAATCATATTCCTAATCAGCCGGACCACTTTTTTCTTTTTTTTTTTAATTACGTTTCCATGCGTAATTATTGAGCATCTTTCTAAGGAAAATCCGAAACAAATAACGCGCTACTGCTTCTTTGTCCACATTTGTCTCTTGGCAATTTTTTATCCCACATAATTCGAAACAAATCAAAACGAACAACTACGAAGCAAAAAGGAATTCTGAATAAAAGTGGAGTTAACGGCAATAGTGGAAAGCAACGGATTTTCAACAAGGTAGTCAATTAAGTGAAGCAAGTGGTATAATTGGATCCGAGTTCAGCTGAACTCCTATAAATTTATTTCGGTTTTTACAAAATAGTAGAAAATGTGGAATACAATTAACATTAAATCAATTATTCACGTATATAAAAAAATTTAAGATAAATTTTTTTACTATTCACATTTATACTTAAATAAAATACAACATTAGAAGCGAGAAAAGGAGGAAGGGGAACCCCTCGCTGATGATAATTTTCTTATTACTGACAGTATGAGAACAAGAGATGAGAACTGAGCAGAGAGGGGTAGTTTGAGGGTTTGGGGATTGGGGTGAAGACAATACGGCCAAATTCATTATTTTTTATTAAACAGTCTTAGACTGTTAATATTGGAGTACGACGACCCCTGATTAGTAGTTGTTTAGCTCTATCTCCGCCCCGTAATATGGTTGAATTTCTTTATGAGCCGATAATTGGTCATTCCAATCAGACCAACCAATTTCTCCGGTTTTGAACAACTTTAATTGTTGTTGCAAACCAAAGTCTTCCAACCAGTCTGATGTCTTATAATAGTCGGACTGGATTGAACTGATTGGCATGAAGCTGATTTGAAAACCATGGTTTGCAGAGGGAAAAGGCTGGCATAATTGTTAAAGTAGGGAGTATGATTGTAAAACCACTGAGTTCAACAGGTACTAGAAAATTCGGTTAGAAGACCATCGATATAAAGAGTAGCCCAAAACGGTAAAAATTTATCAAAATCGAAGAAAGAGTGGTATGGCAGGAACAATCAATTTCCTGTCGCCAAACAAAAAGATGTCGCTTTGATGGAACTAACTAAAAAAATAAAGAAATTTGTCGACTCAAGTATGAACATTTAAATGTTGATGTTATCGGTTAGATTTAAGTATCCACATTTGAATATTGACGTTAAATATTGTATTTAAATATAATTTTTTTTAAATTTTTGTTATAGTGTAGTGTTTCATTCAAATATAAAATGGAGATTATAAATAAATTTTCTTAAAATAAATTATATTATTATTTATTTATTTGGTGTTAATAGTTTCTCACTCCCTCGTATTAACAACCGTATAAACCGACAAATAAACTCACTCTAGTCCAATTAGAATTTCCAACTTGCAAAACCGGTTGAACAATAAAACTCATTTTGACAACCTTCCTCAGTTCCTCTTGCTAGAATTTGATTTGTTCATCACTTTTCCAGTTTTCAATTCAGCACTGCCACAGCAGGAAGAGAGGCTCTTCCCCTTCGCATTTCCTTTTGTCTTCATCGCTCGCCGAAAAAAAGGAGGGTTTCACTTTGTCTCCATTTTCCTTACCTGGGTAGCTGACCGAGTAGCGCAGGTGGATTTTCTAGTGACTTCATTTCCGCTTTGTCCTCGCCTTCTGCAGTTCTGCAGTTCACTGTGTCTAGGTTCTAGGGTTTGGTATGCTTAATCTCACTGTGCCTTCGTCTCCTCTCGCACCCATTCGTGAATTTTCCTAGCTCTGTCTTTCCTCCCCATAGGGTTGTTCCCCGCATATACACAGGCGCTTTGTGGTGCTTCTTGCTAACGATGATAACTTCTGTATGAAATTTGAACTTGATTACTCTGAGTTTATGTTCAAGGGACTCTATTCTCCGTTGCATTTTCCCCTTCTTATCTTGGTTACTCAAGTTTGCTGTGGTTTCTCATCATCTATTGCCTGTGAGCACTGCTGATGTAGGTTTATTGGGCATATAATTCCAAAATGGTATTTCGATTCAGCAATTCACTAAAAGGGTCTTGGGGTTTTTTCCCCCCCTTTGCAGGTCCTGCTGCTGCAGACCCATTTTACTGGAGACCCTGATTTTGACAGCTTTCTGAATTGGTGTTGAACATCAAGGAGTTGATAGTTGGTGGAGGAATGTTACTTTTGCCTTATTTAGTACATGCTATATGAGGTGGTTCAGTTTTGCTGCAGAATGACGATGAGTGATCTACGCTGAAGTCTGTTGGGGCCTAAAGGAAGTGGAATTGGTTCTCTTGCTCGTGGTGTCCTGAAAATAGCTAAAACGGGTTCCCTTTGTTGTGTGGCCGCGAGGCCGCATGGGTCAAGTGCAGCCAGTGGAGACTGGTCCACTGATCCAGACGAACCTTATTGGCAGACTAATTCAAGCTTCTCCCCGCCTCCTTTGGGATGGGATTTTAGATTTTCATCTGAAGACCTGCCCTATGAATCCAATGCTCGCAACCAAATTTATAGGTCCTCAACATCCTCGACAGTCAAAGAGGCTAGATTGATTAGGGCCAATCCCTTTTATAGTCATCAGTATGATGGTGCAGTGCCTTTGGTCAGTAGTCCTGAACATTCTCATGGTCCACAGTGGGCAGAGCCAGTGGTACAAGAACTTAGTTTTGATGACTATGAAGCTGCTACAAGGAGAGGTAACAAGCTACAGTTTTCCTATATATGTTTTTTTGTGTTCATCTCTGGACTCTAGTGGACACTGTATTGAATCTGTAGTGCATAGTCAGATTAGGAAGTAATATATGTAAAAACACTATAGATGAGAAGCAACCAAGTAAAATGATGTCCATCATCATGTTTTGAACCTATTGATACCAACATTATCTTAAAAATCATGGCGAGGTTTTAATATAAGAAGTAAGATGGATAGTTATGGTTTTTAGTTAGCAAGTTTTGTTTAGAACCTGGTCCTGCAGAAAATAGAGCCACATTTTGGCTCTCTTTAACCTGTTTGGTCCTAGCCTCCGAGCTTGTAGACACTGGAGTTTATGTCTCTCAACAAACAGGAAATGAGTTCTGCAGTGTAACTTGGATGACCAAAGCTCTCACCCTTCTTGCTTAATTTTTATTTTCCTCCCTAAGTTCCTGCTTGAATATGGCCCTTTGCTATGTTACTTTACTTGGTTGACATATTGTGCATGTCCTAGTAATGTTTCTCCTTTTGGGCTATGGTGGACCTTTGAAATGCCTACGGACATAGGTAGTGGTGGAATCCATATTTCTTGAATGCTGGTACCAAAGCTAGCTTAATGAATTAAATGTTTGTATCTGGATGTGGCTCACTGGTTCAGACTGCTTTTGTAGATTTACTGCTGGCAGTCATGTACTATTTAATGTTCCAAAAGAAGGGGGGAAAACCCCATGTATACTAGAACATCAATATAATCTATATGAGCAGATGTCTGTTTTTTCTGTTATTGATCCTCCTCTTATAGTTTCTTCTTCCTCTTTGTGCCTTATAGCTGAAGTTCTTGGGAAATTCCCCTCCACGCCAACTATTGAGGTAGCTAGCATAACTCTATTTTTTACTACTTTCACTCAGTTTGTCTTTCTTGAATTTTTATTACCTTTTTTTTTACCGTGCAGGGAACTTCAGCAAACCGAGGGAGGCTCTCTTCATCAAATTCAGACGTCAGCGACTTTGAAACTTCCTTCAAGTCATGCCTATCTTCACATTGCAATTTCTCTAGCCGCAGGTCCTTTTTGTCAAAACCCATTCATCCTTTGTCCTTCCCCTTCCATTCCCCCGGAGATGCTTCAACCAGTCAAAAAGATGCATATAGCCGGAGAAGCAGTGCTAGCAGCAGTAGCACTGATTTTGCAGACGTTTGTGAAACACTCGAGTCAGCCAATCCAGGTCGTTCATCATCTACTTCCTCAGATGGTTTCAAATGTGGGTTGTGTGAAAGGTTCCTTTCACACAGATCTCCTTACAGCTCTCGCAGAATTGTGCGAAGTGGAGACATGCCTGTCGCTGGGATTCTCTCATGCCGCCATTTCTTTCATGCTGAATGCTTGGACCAGATAACCCCCAAGTTGCATAAAAGCGACCCGCCATGCCCCATCTGTTCCAGATTTGAGGAGGGAGATTCTCCTGATCACAAGATCTTTGCTAGGTTGAGGAACAGCTTCCCAAAGTTTAGAAGGCAATTGCTCGAGGAAGGAGCTCTGCAGGTACCACCGCGGAATACCATGTTGATGCTAAACCGTCGTCGTTTGAGTTCTGTTAAAGGAAACTCGGTGAAAGCATTCCCAGGAAAGCTCAGGAATGGTGGGCTATACTCTTCACAGCTATCGGGCTCTCATTCCGCTGATGTAGGAGCTGTTGGATGCTCAAAGGCGGCTACCGGAAGCCTCTAAGCATTTAGAGTTGCTGCTAGTCACTTTAGCCTGTGCTTGATGCCTGCCAATTGGCTAGTTTTAAAACAGAAATTGTAGATTTGTTGGTAAGTGAGAACAAAATTTGAAATTATTGGGTGTTCTTGTACAGAGATTCTCTGCCTTTTTATTTCTGAATTCAGGAGTGGTAACATGCGAAATACGTTTGTAGCAGTTGTTTTATTGCTTGATGAACTTGGGTCAGTTAAAATTATTCTCTTAGCAGAGTTCATAAACATGGGAGAAGTGGCGGTCTAGTACTTATTACTGAAAGTGATGCATTACGCATTAACGGGCTGTCATCATTACTATTATAGTTATGTTTATTGTGTTAATTCGGTTGGTTATTTGTTTATTTGGGAATTTATTGTTTAGAAAGTTATCGTTTACTTGTTGGTTTACGATTAGAGTCGAAAAAGGGTTTATGAGATTAGTTCTAATAATATGTACTTTTGCTCTACATTATATTCACGAATACGAAGTCAAGTATTACAAGTAATTGGTTGTAGTTCTATGGCTTTTCCACTAGTTCTTTGTAGTTGATTTCTCATCGAGTTCAAGACATTCAACATGTGAAATAGATCATGTGTCAATTGGTATCAGAGTCCGGTTGTTGTTGAATTCGCTAACCCAACATCCAATGGAAGAGGGTTATGCTCTATGGCAATGCAATTATGAGGAATCCTTCCTCGACGGGCTGCTTGTTGTTCAACCTATCCGGCTCCGCTACGTGCGTCTCTAACGTCGTACCCGCCCATCTTCACATCACTCACCATGGTTGTATTATTCTCATTCCGTTCAAGACTATCACCAAGACCTGGAGAGTTCGGCCGCCAGACTTCTATGGAAGCCATGAATTCACAATATGCTGCAGCTAATCAGAGTCACTTTCAAGCTCAATACACACTGCTTCCTTACCATGATTTTTCAGTAAGACGAGTGTCTTAGGCCCTAAGGCCCACAACGTCAATTCACCACATTGATCATACCCTCGGTTTAGTTATCAAGAATGTCAACAACAAGAGTTTCTTACATCACATGGGAATCCACCATTTCAAGGCCAATGGGATCAAGAAGCCAAGTTGCAATGAAACACTCATTTTGTCATTGCCAATGTAGTCGAAAACGCGTCTTAAAACGCAAAAACACACGTTTTTACGTTTCTGGCTCGGCAAAACACTTCAGTTTCTATATAAAAATGTATTGTGTGCAAAAACGTTAAAACAAAGGTAAAAAATGATTATAACGCTAGAAAACGGTTAAAATGTGTTTCTAATACGTTTTTGTACGTTTCCAGTTGAAGGACTTTCAACCAATTTCACACCCTATGTTAAGTATTGTGTCCCGACAAACCAGTGCTCTGAACATTGATCCCTACGGTCAACTCGACCTACAGAGAGTCTTGAACTTGTCCTCAAAGTTTGAGCACGATCCAACAGTTATTTTCTCTGAAATCCTCCCCGGAACAAACTGCCTAGCTATAGGAAAACAAGATCGCACCCTGTCTGGCCAGCAACATTTTGCGACAAAGCAGATATCGTGACGATAATTCAAATGGTCAGATCGGATCTCAGAATGTGTGGAATGTGTCCCCCAAAATTTAGGACGATCCAACTACTGGTTTTTGGAATCCCCTCTTGAACTCACTGCCTTGCTGCAAAACAAAAATTATGCAACTCCTCTATTCCTCTCATCCTTTCCTTCTTTTCTTCTCAATTCTCCAGCTCTAATTTCCCCTAAATTTTCTAGTTCCTTCAAGGTTTGGTGTTGGTTCATAATTTAAAACTCGTCTAAACATTGGGATGATGTCACCTTGATGCGAGCATGACATATGACATGTTCAAGATGAACGAGGATGTTACACCACAACTTCATCAAGTGATTACTTCGTTGTTTGATGTGCGACTTAGGTGATTAATATTTACTAATAAACTTATTTCTCGCATTTAGTGGATTAAAAATCTCATAAATCATAATAAAAGAAGCATCGGTATTCATTTTTAATTTGACATCCAAATCGAAACAAAACGTCTCCATAATGAGATGTAGTTGTTAATTGGTTATATTTTTTATGAACGAAGAAGCCTCATTATGTCCTTATTACATTGTTGGTTTATTTGTATGTTTGCTCCACTTTTAAAAGTTTTTCAAATTACTTTATCTTCATGAGTAGTAACCTTATTAAGTGAGACATGTAGTTTAATGAAGATTAGTTAGATTATACACAAAAACTTACGTTTTTACGTTATTACTCATGTTTTTGCTTCTGCATAGAAATGCACATTTGACTACATTGGCCGTTGCACAAGACGTCGTTAACCTGCTTGTTGCTACGTCACCGGTATCATGTGTCACCATAACCCTGCCAACTTCAGACGAGATGACACTAAGTTAGGAGCGGCGATTAGAAGATCTCTTCACCAGAGACATGCAGCCCTCGATTACTATCGATTTTGATGAAGCGATCATCGCCGATATACCATCATCGCAAACTCGAGAGTCTGCACCATTTTTTCCTTAGTTGCGCAGGAGCAATTTCTGTAATTCTGCATTCATTAGAATACTTCTTCTAACTCATTTTCTTCAATTTGTGTAGATGGTCAATGAACTTGAGAGATGTTGAAAGCTTTATCCATGCCCTAAAAAATACATCATAAAACTAACAATCCATTCGACGAGTGAAAATTTTACTTGTACTAGAGAGGAACCAACATCGAATGGGAGCAAACCAAAACTCAATTGGTATTTCCTCCAAAATTCTTTTTTAGAATGAATTAATACCTCACATGTTGGGCTTACTAGCCCCACACTTAATTTCCTTGTAAGTCAAATACATAGAAAATCTTTTCATGTCTCTTTTTTATAGTTTTTGCATTTAATAAAAAGTACAGTTAATACAAACAAAAATCTTTTAAAAAGTGGAGACTCGTTGCATAATAAGAATTCATAATAGATTCAAATAGCAAGGTATTCAAACATATCATGATCATTATATCTTATTGACTTTCACATCCTTCATAGTCACTACACTAGCCTCTCTAAATCAAATAAAATTCATTAATTAAAAGTAAGATGAGCAATTCACATGCTTGTGTGGATGACAAGAGTCGAAGAAAGAGCAGAAAGTTGGCGTCATTTTGTGCACATGGAGTTAGAACGAAAGGAAAGATTAGTCATCTTTCTTAATGTAAACTAGCACAGGGCCCCGACCCGTTGGCCGGGAGAATCTAGTCTGAGAATTTAGGTTGAGAATGTGAATTTTAATAATGGATGTGATAAATGCTCGGAAATGTGTGTTTTGTATTTAGATATGCAAATGGTTGGATTGTATATAATTCGCTTACAATATAATAAAAAGATGAAAAGTACGATGTAAGAAATAACTTTAATTTTTTTCAGTGGAAATAAAGGAATGAATATAAGTAATTGTTTTTCATCAATGCAGTAGACCATATAGTTGAATATTAGACTTGTTTCCTATAATACATACATAATCAACTTTAAGGATGAAATAAAATGATTGGTCTATGATAGAGTTCAATATTTTTTCATAGTGCTTATCCCAGTAGGAATTATCCTTCTTGATCACAACGTGGGCAATGGATCTAACGTTGCATGATTTGAAATATATCGACATGTCGCAAAGTTGTCATTGATAGTGAGGTTAACAATGTATCGAGTACGGGTGCATTCCCAAGTGACTCTTGTATCATATATATGACCACCAACAATGTAGTAATTTCCCTATAATAAAATATTTTGTAATTAAAATGAAATAAAATCAAATGATGATGAAGTATAAATATAAAATTATATTGAAGATAGGTTGATACAAAAAATGTAGAATTGCAAATCTCTTACTATGGCTAAAAGAGATAATCGAAATGAAGTGATGTCAGCAATTGAACAATTGTTAGCTAATTTGGTTTAGGTGGTTTGGTTTCAACACTGCTAACCAATGAAACCAATTAACCAATTAATGATATACCTAATATACAAAATTATTTATACTTACATGCAACCAACCAAACCAAACTTTCGTGATTCCCTATTTTATTTCCATGTGCACAACAAACCAAAACATTATGGATCAAAAATTAAATGGGTCTGCCTATATTTACTAATCCAAAACATTTTGGACAACTTCTAGACTTTAGGATTACGTACAATACCATGACAACCACCTCAAACTATGTATAGTTTAAGTGTTTTGTAGGAGAGTTTTAACTTCCTGATTAGGGTATTGGTATGTATTTATGCTTAGGGGTTTGTTGTAAGCTACCTATATTAGGTGCAAAGATGATGAATGAGGTATTAACTCGAATGATGATGATAATTATGGATGGTTAGTCTTATTATTATTGCTTATATAAAATGATAGTTTGTGTTTGTTTTCATGTAATGTTATGTTATTTGGTTAATCCGATTATCCGATTAACCAAACCAATTAACTTTGGTTTGGTTAATTTGGTTTTCGTGTTAATTTGGACGGTTTGGTTAAGACATTTTATTCCATGGTTAATGAAATTTAGACTTAATTGGTTTGATTATTGCCACGGTAACCATTTGAACACTCTTACCCCATCACATTGATTGCAAATCAGAGAGACCATGAATATGCTTCATAAATTTTATAGAGTGCGGATTGTTGTGTAAGTCTTGCAAGATACTTGATTTTCCCATATGATTATATAATTGATACTCTCAAATCTTGATTTGTTCAGCACATCGAACCTGGTTTCTATGTTAGGACACCAAGCCAGCCTCTTTAATTATTATTGGCTCCTCAAGTTATATATATTCTTATAACTCTTTCAACATTTTTGAACTCTTTGGTGGGTGGTTTTGAGGGCAAGTAGTTTAATTTATAGGATAAAGAGTGATGATCATATGGTGAAAATTAATGTGGGTTTGGAAAGTGATGTTAATGTGTATTAGAGTCTCCATGGTTGGAGCTAGGAATGACAATTATTACGAAATAATTACCATGTTTGTTCTTTCACCATGATGACATCTTTTGATCGTTTCAATAGCTTATTTATAAAAAATTTATGTTAGTTTGATTAACAAGCGATAAAAAAGAATTCACGCATGTCGAAGCGCGGCGTATAAATGACCTAGTATAGTAT